ACCCCACGTGGGCCAAGTCTGCTCTGATTGGTCTACCAATCCGCTCTGTCGTTATTGGTCAGTTGCTCAGCATGCTTCTCGGAACATGAGAACATTTCAGCATGAGCTGCAGGGCCACAACGAGCCAATGGGCTTAGATCAGTGACATCACACTGACAAGACGTCACACTGACACATTTTTATGGAGGGGGGCTAGAACCGAGCGTTACATGCAGCTAATGCTACAGCTAACAGGAGGAGGTAGGAGAAGCCGCGTTTCCGTGGACTTTGCACAAAGATGTTCCTAAACATGCACAGGACACATGGAAAACACACTAAAGAGCAGATAAAACCAGAAAAAGAAGAATATGGGACCTTTAACACGTAAACAAGTCGTTGCTGTCACAAAACTTGGACTTCCTCGTCCTGATTACAGGAGGAGCCGAGAGACGGCGGTTTATTGTCTCGTTTATGGGATTAAAACAGTCGGACGGGAGTGTTTGGTGTACCGTGTTGATGTGTAAGGTGAAGCCGTTCTTGGTCTTTCCCGGTCCAAACTGTGCGTCGAAGGTCTCCTCTGAGTCCAGCTCAGGGATGGAGAGCGTGATGCGTCCGTTTGTCGTCTGAACTGAATCGACGTGAAGCTCCAGTTGGATCCTCCACGAGGAGAGGCCGGAGTCTAGACAGAAACACAGATTATGAAGAGTAACATCAACACATAAATTAGGGTGTTTTCACAAGTCATACTGCCAAGTATCATTTACAAGACGTTTTCATCACTGCAGCACATACAGCAACTAATGAAGCTGTCTTTAATGTAACATCTGCTGTCTCCATGGCAACGATAAACATGTCATGGCGGCTGCTGCGTTGTGTTAAAAGATTTAAATTTGACGTACTGTATAGAGGGACAGATGAAACCTGGAGGAGCTGCAGGACATTGAAGGCCTCCAGTCTGACGTCCCTCCAGAGTCCCATCGTGGGGAACGAAGGCCCCCAGTCCCAACTGAACGAGCTCTGCTCCTGAACACAAACAGACAAGGTCCAATCAGTGAGCTGTGTAGAGAGTGAAATGATAAAGGTATCTTACTCTCTGATCATTAAGGAAACATGCTATGTTGAAGTGTTGGCTTCTCTGACAACAATGCAGCAGCCAGTATGTCCTCCTTCTAACTTTAGATTCTGCTCCTGAATGCTCTGGATTTGTTTGGACCAGAGAAGGTAGGCGCTTTTAAGACCCCCCCCACACGGCCGTTTTGGACACCCCTCGGTTTGTCAGATATGAGAGCAGTTATCAGGTCAACAGGTGTTGCAGCGATGGAAGCGGTCAAGAGAAGTGGTTCAGATAGAAGTGATTGTACCCGACCTAAAAAGCCTCTGCATGTTTCTAATAAGCTCCACGAGCAGAAACGTGCTCAAACTAGGATCAATATTGGAGATGCTTTTGAAAAATGGAGAGAGGTTAGAACACAGAAAGGTTTACAGACCCATGCAGAGCTGGAGAAACACTGAAGCTTCAGAGTCCACCACATGGTGACCTGAGTGAGCATCCACTCTAGAGAGGAGGGGGGAGACAGCTCTCTACAATGTTTAGAATTTAGACTGCAGTACCCATTTTAACCACTAGGGGTCAGAGTTACATATTACTGAAACTATTGGCGCTGATTGTTTACCTTTATGTTTCCAGACAACAGGTTGAAGCACAAACTTACTTTTCGGATGAAATTGACGTGACACTCCCCCTTCTGGACGTCTGGAGGACACTCAGGAGGAACTCTGTACGCAGAGTGCGCTTTTCTCCGCTCAGACGCGTAAACAACCGGAGACAGCAGGTCGACCTTCAGCACGTTATCCCCGTCGTTCAGCAGCTCTCCCACTGAGAAATCCTACAAACACCAAGAACAGATGCTGCACATGACGCACTGAAGACGAGGTACAGAGAATTATAAAACCCGTTGTTCCATTTGTTTACGTACATATCTGCGAAACATGTTGTCTGTTTCCCCCACAACGACTCCATTGAGAAGAATCGACGCTACAGTGTCGACACCGTCAAAGACGAGCAGCACCTTCTGTTTGGACCTGAAGGTGGACACAACAAACTGGTTAAATTATATTTAAAAAGAGCTTAAAAACATCAAATAAATATTTAAACTGACCTCAGCTGAGTGGAGACGGTAAATGTCGTCGTGTATGTCCAGTTGTCGAGGGCGATCCATCGATATGACAGATCGTTGAACCTGAAATACGGGTCCTGAGAGGAGAGCAAGACTTACTTTTATTTAAATAAACGTCATATCTTTGTTAGTTTCTAGTTTATTAATGTGGTTAATATTTCACAATACTGACTTATTTATTTGAAACTTACAAAAAGAAACTATAATAAAAAAAAAATTGCTGATATTTCTGATAAATATGTTGCGTCCAGAAGTTAGAAGAAGAAGAAGTAGGCCAAGAAGATATACTGTATGTAGCCAATCTTTGGTTACATAAAAGGAGATTAGAATACAATAGAATAGAATTACTTTATCGATCCCAAACTGGGAAATTGTGGCGTTACAGCAGCAGGTTATCCAAACACACAATAAAAAACACAATATAATAATACAAAGTAAATAAGCACTAAAAATATCAAAACTAAGAATGTGAATATATACAACCAGGATTTAACTAAATAATTAGTGGCATTAGAAAGGGTAAATAAATGAGACTCTAAAGGCCACCCCTGCATAAGTCAGTGGGCCCCCCCGATCAGAAAAGCCTGGACACGCCCCTGACAGTACCTCTACTTTTCTTAAATTCACATTAACGCCTCATCAACAGCTCAGCAGGAGACTCAGAGTGCTTTCTTTATGTTCACAATTATAAAGAGATAAAGATAAACTTTATTGATCCCCCATGAGAGAAATCTTTGCATTACAGCAGCTCAAGAAAAACAGGAAACAGGAATATAATTATTAAAAATAAAAATAGAAGTTAAAAATCAAACATATCTACATCAGTTAAATACAAAACTAGAATAATACAAAGGATAATAATAATATTAAGGATATAAATAAGGAGTATAAATTAAAAACATTGCCTTATTTTTCCCACCTGGATGAATCCCTGTTGTTGTAGCGCTGTGTGAACACATCCGGGTACCTGAGCAGGCAGCCACAGTGAACCATTAGAGTTTGAAAGACTCCATTTACCGTTCAGACTCCCGGTTAGTTTCTGCTCCGTTAACGACAAAACATCCGAAAACAAGCTCAACAAAACACAAGACACAAGAACACAAACGTCTCCACGCAGACTCATAGCTTCCGGTTTGTTGTTGTCATGGTTACTAACGGGAATACTCTTAAAAAGTGTAAATATAAGTGTAAAATATCCGCGGGTTTGTTGCGTTTAACAATCTGGAAGCAGGAACTTCCTTGTTCGTCATGTGACTGGTGACGTCGGAGTCAGCTGACCAGAGTTGTTGCACGAGGGGCGCGTTTTGGCGCGACATGTTAGCTTTCCTTTACTTTTAAATTACAAAATATAATCTGTTTTTATAAATAAAGACAGGACAAAAGAGATGCTCGTAGAAATGCTTGTTTACCTTGTATTATTCTATTATTGTATTTTTTCTCCCTTTATTTAACTGATGTAAATATGTTTGATTTTTTAACTTCTTGTTATTTTTAATAATTATATTCCTGTTTCCTGTTTTCTTGAGCTGTTGTAACGCAAAAATGTCCCCCATGGGGGATCAATAAAGTTTATCTTTATTCATTTAATTTGTGCTAATTTGTTGCTGTTGGCGTCGAAATCATCCAAAGTTATCAGGATGGACTTCAGTGGGCGAGTGGTTGCCATGGTTCCTTCTTTCTGCTTTTTGGACTTTTAGTTGTTTTTTATGTCCAACTCTGGTCCGACTACGCCTATAACTGTGAATTCAAATTAGAATTTTACATTTCAACTACCTACAATGGATAATAAATATTACAGACTAAATAAAATACATTTTCGGGGGCAGGAAAAAACCCTTTAAGGTGCATTATGCAGCTTAGGTAGAGACATTTAAAAGTTGGAGAAGTGAACAGATTCTGTGGCATTTCATCAGAATCTTTACCTGATGAAGGTAAGAGACAGTAGAAAGTTATATCCAACTTTTGGTTTGGGTTAATTTTGGCGCCCCCTCTGGACAAGGAACTACCTCATCTTTTTTCCGACTAATATAAACTATGGAAGTAGTTTTTGTTTTAAAAACATAGATCTCCTGCTTCCTGTTGACAGTCGATTCAAACACTCACCAGGATCTTTTTCTGCTGAAAATAGAATCTAATGTTTTTTGCACAGTGCTCATCTACTCGTCCCGACATCTACCCCGCCACGGTAGTTACAGACATTTAAAATTCATAAATAGAAAATGATCACTCGTGACACAGATAGTCTTGTTTAGCTTCATAGGTCATATTGACATGAGTGTCAATGTCAGTCTGGTTCAAAACAGCCTAAAAAAACTGCTCACAGTAGCTTTAAATAGAAATACCCAAGTGAACTTTCAACACAGGAGTGTCAGTTAGATACTCCAAAATGCAGCAGCTCAGATTCTTACAGATGACATCACAGCACTTTAATTTGAGCTTCTCCACATTGGCTTCTAATGAGTGTTAGAATTGATTTCAGTCATTACCTTTAAACCATGTATGGGCCTTGAGCCAAACTATATAACAGAATTACTAATCCCTTATGAGCCAGACCGCATCCACATCTGCAGGTGGGGGCCTCCTGGTCCTTCCAAAGTCAAGCTCAATTTAAAGGTGACCCTACTTTCACCACGAGGGCCCCCCGACTACAGTATGACCTCTCAGAGGATATATGCGAGTTGTTCACTTGCAGTTTTCACATTCTGCACTCCTGAAAAAAAATCTAGATAATTTCCTATTTCCAAATTTAGTCTGCTCCAGGATTTGAACCGGAAACCCTCCGGACTAAACTATAGATTTATAAAAACACACACACACACACACAGAAAACTCGAGCATGCAGCCTTATGGTTTGAGTAACTTTATTGAAGGGAAAACTAAAAAGAAACAGAGCTACTCGTTGATCATCAACCAGCAGCTTTGCATCAATATTTCAGGGCTACAAGAAGACAGTGTTTGAGTGGGCGTAAAACTAAAAACTCATCTACTGGCTTCTAAAGAATGAAAAAGAAACAAAGCCTTTGACGGGAACCAATTTTTTTTTTTTCCTTCCAAACTGCTCAGCCTGACGATCCACTTTAAATCTGCAGAAACATATCAGATATAATATCCTACCTTTATTAACATGCATAAAATACAACACTGAAGTTCTTATATTTTTGTTTCCTTAACATTGATATATAATGCTGTGCTTCTCTGTACACACACTTTGATAGTGGAATAAGATACACGTCTTTCCTCAGGTAAGAGGTTGCTATACTAATGATCAGAAGAACATACCGACGTCACGCCAGTCCAGGAAGCCAATGCAGGAGCTGCTAGCCAGTTTCAAAATCTTTCAGATTTGGCATTTCCCCCCTTTTTTTTTTTGATTTCACCAAATTTGATTTAAAATGCAGCCGAATTTTTGCCGCTTTGAAAGTTGAGATTTGATTGCAAAAGACAGGTTTCTCTATCAGTGCTTTAAGCCCACAGTGAAGTAAAGATCCACCCGGACAGGAGACCAGTCGCATCCGATTCTACTAAGTGTGTGCAGAGTAAACGAATAACATCACCAAATCTGGGGTTGAAAAACTCTTACTGGGGCATGCTCAAGCTGTTCAGCACCACGGTGATTTTTTATTATATTTTTTTAAACTCCGTATGAAACTTCACAGAAACTGGCACATGTCCTAGAGAGAGAAAACACTATCTTCTTATGAGCGCGGGTGGAAAAAGTAAGGGGTAAAATGCTCTGATTAACAAAAACAAGGAGGAAACAAAACAAGTGAAAAAAAAAAAACTGAAAAGAAAAAAAAGAAAAAAACTGAATCCTGGATCTTTTTTAGTTTGAACCAGCAACGTCATTTTCCCTCCACCTCTCCAGCCATCACATGGCGTATTTGCTTGTCCATTCTTTTGCTGTTTTGCAGTATCTGCGGAGACAAAGAAGAGCAAACGTTAGACGTCGAGCAGCTCAAAACAATCACTCTGCATTAAACTCACACGCTCATGTTGGATGTATTAAAGCTCATGCACTCTTTGCACACGCTCTTTAAGGGCGTCATTACATAAAGCACAACAATGACACTCTTTGTACAAACCTAACTTCCTCCATACCTGAAACATTTTATTGGTACAGTGTTGTAGTCAAGACCACAGAAACAAAAAATAAATAAATAAGTGCAACTTATTTTTATTTCATTTAATCCTTTTCTCCTTCTTTAACAGTATGCTTAACCTGACTATCTATATACTTAGATAGGCACAAAGCTCACTCTGGATGCTGCATACTGTGTGTGTATATATATATTTCTATGTATCGTTACCTTTTCCCCACTGGGTGTTAAAAATATGAAAAAATGTTGGAAACGTTAATGTATTGCAATAAAAGTATAAAACTTTTTTTTTTTTTTTTTTTTTAAAGACCACAGAAACCTGAGACCAAGACAAGACCTAAGACCAGAGTGCTCAGAGACAAGACCGAGACATTTAGGGATCAAGACCAAGACCGGTAACACCGGGATGGTTGTGGTCATATAAAAATGAAACTACAAATGAAGTGAAGTTCTTTTAGAAAGAGGCGTTTTCCTTATCTCAGTAAAGACGTGGAATAAAAGCCAGTCAGTGGTGGTCTTGATTTAACATCTGGAGTCCGCTGAGACCGAGACAAGACAGAGTAAAAACTACTTTCCGAGACCTTCAGAAAGTAGTCTTGAGACCCAGACCTATTTCGAGTACGACAACACTAACACACCTCTTACAAAAGTAAAGATATCATTTCTAAGTTTGGCAAGATGCTGTTAGTGGTCGTTTCCATGCAGACAATTTTTTACACAAGTAGTTTTGCTTTGAGTCGTTTCTCCGTTTTAACACGAGTCAGTTTCTTTCTCATGCTTAGATGATGTTCCAGATCCTTCAGGTAATGCAGAAGTTATAAAGGCGATGGTGCGACCTCTGTGCACAGAATTAAACTGCATCATTATGTTTCCTGTTCTCCAGTATGAGCCTCTCTGCGCTTTTGTTGATACCATAAAAATGCAGGACTTTGTCCAGTATCACCATGCTTCACCACGCACTTTAAACATGGTGTCAGACCCCTTCCATGTTCTTTTTAGCTACGTCCTGCCCCTGCCCCCCCTCCTGTCTGAAAGTGAAAGTCTCCCGTTGTGAGGTGCGTGTGTGAACAACCGGATCAGGACATGAGGAGCAGCCTGCCTGACATTTTAAAGAGTGCATGTGTGAAAGCAGCTTCTGAAGATCAATGTGCATCTCATGGTTGATGTAATAAAGTTCCTCGTGCTGTAGGTGCCGGCGTTTACTTTCCAACAGCTCCTCTTTTAGGCGTGTTGACACCCGAGGGTCACGGTAAACCCAACAGCATGAAACCCAACCCTCGTAGTGCTGCTTATTGTTTCTCTGCTACGCTTCAGCATCCCGACACCAGAGCTCATGAATGAGATTTATTTGGCAGCTGACGGTTGGAGTGTCCTCAAATGAACCGGCACTAACGTATTTCAGGACGGTCTGTGGCGCGCAGACATCTGCCTCACCACGCATCAATAAAGAAACCCATTACCAGCTGTGATGGATAAACCGGTGTGAAGCAGCTACCAGGTGATTGTTACACCACACTGACAGATATGAAATATAAGTGCATCATAAGTGCTTTAAAATGATCTGCAGTAAAATGGAACGCCGTCGTGCCAGCTGATGACATCGGCCGAAACTAGCATACCAAGTGGCTATCGTATCGGCTAATTTTATTTCAAATGTGCGCAAATATTGCTCGATTTATTCTCCAGTCAAAAAGCATTTCATTTGAGTTTCATTGTATTACACTAGCAGTTCTCTTTCACAGCAGATGGCGCTATCAGGATTACAACAAACATCAATACTCTGCAGAGCATCGAGCGGTGAGGCACGTTCATGCTCAGTCATGCTGCTTTTAGGTGCTGCTCGGAGATCCAATTTTCAGAGTTTAGAAGTCGTTCTTCCGACTTTTTGTGTTCAAGTGACTTCAGTTTGGAAAGTCTGAATGTTTTAACAGCAAAAAAACAGTGTTGATGCTATGAAGAAGATCTGCAAAATGTCATTGTTTAAAGTTATATTTGAGCAGAAAGTTTATATATACACGTGAATAAATATATATATTTTTTAACATTAACAAAATATATTTTGTCCCCCATGTGATGACGATTCTGACGTCAAATCGGGCACCTCATTCTTTTCCGAGTTGAGCAAGAAGTGTTCATGTGCACATGAGAACTCGGAAACTCGTTTTTCCCCATGTGTCCGACACCACATGAATGCAGCATTATTTTCCAGTTGAGTGACCATCTTGTCGTCATTAGAAATCTTTTCCACAAGTGTTTGAAAACTACATCTGAGGAATCAACACAATAAATGTGTTCATCAATATCAATCTCTAAAGATCGAACAAAGATATCGGCCAATCGGAGTTATCCTCTTCCTGACCTCGATATCTGAACCTGGTCGTAACCCAGACAGACATCAGTGACCCGCCTCTCTCTTTGTGGATTTACAGGTTATCAAGATGCTCGAGCAGTTCCTCTCCTTGTTCACATATTCAGGGATTAGTACGATCACAGTGACGTCAGTGAGACCAGACAGAGCATCACAAACTCAATGGGTCAAAAACCCAAACACACCAGCCAAGATGCAGCGCTGGCTCTCAGCCTTACCCCTAAAGCATGGCATACTTTGTAGTCCACTCCTGAGCTAGTTTGTTGTACCTGACGGGACGAGACAAGGTGACACACTACAGTTTGAGTTTCCTTCCTGCACCATCGTTCAGTGAATCCCCGGGCTGAGTCGTGCACAAAATTACTCAACACATTTTTTAAAAAAAACATCTCCTGAACAACGTTAACAAAAACAGGTGAATGTTTTTTTATATTTACTTACTTCAAGTTATCTGTTTTGTACATTCGTGCGATCTCTGGCACTAATGGGTCGTCAGGGTTTGGGTCACATAGGAGTGAGCAAATGGAGAGAAGTACTGGAAGAGAGAAGATAAAAGGTCAGGTTAACCAATAATCCAAACAGGGAAATGAACACACTACAGCTCATACACAAGTCCTTGATACCTTCAAGAAACACCGGTGGCACATCGGGACACAGTAAGCATTAAAGAGTTTTCCTCGTATGCTACACAGGCAGGTATGTGCCGGTATCAATGAAATCCTAACGATAGAAATCCCTAACTGCCATTGTAACTTAAAAAAAAAAAAAAGTTATAACGTACTTCCCAAAGGCTGCAAAATAAAAAGAGGTAGATCATTAATGCAGCATAAGAATTAACTTAAAACAACTTCAAAATAATTTAAAAACATTTTTTTTAAGGTTGTTTCAGTTCATCTCATTTAAAAGTATAATTCTGTCTGCTGTACTTTACATCGTTTGGGGCAGCATCTCTCCATCAAGGGGAACTCAAGACTTGAACATAGTCCACAAGTAACATTAGGACAGAAGTTTGAATGTTTTTATCATCGATCTGTACTTCAAATGTGATCTGATTTAATTCAGACCCTTTAAGAGTGTTTGATGTGAAAACTTTGAGAATGAGACATGTATGGGGTTTGTTGATCCATACACCAGGGCTGCAGGCAAATTCACAATCTTAAGTCATATTAAAGGAGCAATATGTAACTGACACCTAGTGGTTAAAATGGGTACTGCAGTCTAAATTCTAAACATCATAGAGCATCTACCTTCTCTGGTCCAAACAAATCCAGAGCATTCAGGAGCAGAATCTAAAGTTAGAAGGAGGACATACTGGCTGCTGCATTGTTGTCAGAGAAGCCAGCACTTCAACATAGCATGTTTCCTTAATGATCAGAGAGTAAGATACCTTTATCATCTCACTCTCTACACATCTTACATGTTGCTCCTTTAAATAAAGTTGTTTTTCCCCCTCTGTTCTTACCTTTTGAAATAGTAAGTGCAGGAGACCACTGTGATCTGAGAATATCCAGGCAGATACTGCCGTTACTGTTTATGTTTGGGTGGTAAATTCTTGTTGTAAATGCAACCTGTAAAAAAACAAAATGCAAAGCAGTGAGAACAGGTACAAACAGCAGATCAATGTTATCTAACATGAAAACTTTGACACGAGGCATTGACGTTTGACACTCATGACTATCTACTTCTGGAACGACGGGTATTCCTTCATGAGGGCTGACAACAGATTAAATCGCTTTATGACACCAGCAGGTTTCCTTGAAGTACAAACACATCCTTGTCAAGTCTCTTACTTTTACCAACACATTATTAACAGAAGTGTTTAAGTTCCCTTCAATATCCTGGAAATATGTTTCCATGAATGGTACGACATCTTAAATTATACAAAAAACCTTGTAACAGGGGGATCCAGCTTACCTTGGGGGGTTTGAAGGGGTAGTCTGTTGGAAAATGAATTGTCAAGAAGAAAACGCCTCCCTGATATGGACTGTCATTCTGAAAGCAAGCAACACATTTACATACTTTAGAGGAGAATCATCCAAATTCCTCATGTCCTCATTATCAAGTCAAATGTTAACCTTTATCTCATGAGTTCATTTAAAGCAGTAAAAGGGGGCAATGACAAAATACAACACTGTGATGCATTAAAAAAAGTGCACACAGAGCAACAACTCATCATAAAATGTCGACTTACAGGTCCCATGATTGTGGCTTGCCAGTGAAACACTGCAGAGAGAACAGAAAGTAAATGTTACAAAAACAGGAAAAGGTCACAGGTACGAGATCTGACGGGCTTCTGAGCCGCCTCCGCAGCTTCAAAGACACCTTTATAGACTACACTCAGTCAATACTGTGCTGCATTTATGTAGGGACACTTCTCCTTTGTGTAATGTTACTTCAACCGTGCAATCTGTGAACGGGTCTACAGTTTGTCTCAGTCGCCCATGTGTGCAGCACTTCTACTTATTATCGTGTTACTTCAGCATCTTTTGCAGTATTCACCACTGCACTGTTTCATATTTAGTCATGTAAATATTAGTCTTTTCTTATTATGTTTATTGTTGATATTTAATGTTGTACCTTTACATAAGAGAGCACAGTTCACCAAAGTTAAATTCCTTGTGTGTGTGTGTAAGCATATCTGGCCAAGAAATCTGATTCTACGAGCTGGATAACACCGCCTGCAGGTACAACCTCTACATCGTCCAACACCGCACGTTAGCGCTGGGTATTTCCACATCTACATGATACAAGACAGATGTTTTTTTTGTTGCTCTATTTGGCGTTTTACAGAGTTGAAGAGCTAGCCTCAGCGCTTAGCAGGGAGTGACTGCCCCCCATAACAAAAAAATAGAATTTTGGAAGTTATGAATCTATTTAAAATCTTAGAAGAATCTTGATTTTTACATAAATTACAATTTTTCCCAGCTCTAATAGTGATATACGTTGGTTTTGGATAATGACCATGTCCAACAGCTGTTCTTTATGGTTGAGAATAACAGCAGAGGCATATTAAAAGATCCTAATACTTAAAACACTTCAATTCAGATCCTCAGATATTCTAGAAAAACAAAAAATCCATTAAAACATTTTAATCCCAGAGCTGTGTTTATGGTGATATTGTGAACTGCACCATCAGGCAACTGTCTTTGAAAACTGTCATGACAGCTTTGCAGCCAAATCGATTCTGAAACATCTGCATTGATAAATGTATTTGCAAGGAGCACGATATATATTGACATATCGATTTTTTTTTAAGACTGTTAATGAGGCGTCGTCAAAAGATCTGCAGATCGGCATTTTTTTTTATTTTATTAAATGTTCTGTGGATGATTATGGATCTAACGCGTTTGGATTAAATCTCTTACTGGATTTAAATTGTGGGGACTCAGTTTGGTGGATTATGATGATCAGGAGAGTTCAGTAAATCTAAAATGATACGTTTGAAGACGTTTGTTTGTCGCTGGTCTGACACACTTACAAACACACACATTGGGCCATCAGTGTGTGTGTGTGTGAAGTATTTCTGATTCTGATGTTGATAACAATAGTGTTACTCTAAAGTCCAGAAAATTTCCCGACCCTCATCCTCAAACTCGGTCAATTTGAGCTTTTGTCATTTTAACAGAAGTTTCTATCTGCTGTGTCATGGAGTATTTCCTACTGACACAAGATAGAGCCAATCACAAGATAGAAGGCGGGACATAACATTGGAATGAATTAGATCTGATAATTTGCTTTGATGAAACTTTTTAATTGGTCTGAGATTAGTAGTAAACAGCCCTGAGCACAGGATGAGTCATCAGAAACACCCAGATGCTTTATGGGAATATATTTGGCAGATAGGTGAACATTTTAAAACACTGGATTGAAACCAGGAAAATGTGTTTTTCTTTTTGAGGGGGACTTGGTGGGCAACTACACTACAAAGATGATAAAGCAACAGATGCAGGACAGGAGAAGTCCAGGGGTCACCCTCCAAACAGGAAACTATCTTTTATGGTACATTAGGTGTGCCATTGTAATACAAAGTCCTACATATTCCAAAGAGACTGTTGAATTATAATTTAAAACAATTTCAAATTTGATTTATTTGCATTCTAGTTTCTTAAATGCCAAGACTTCCTGTGCTTTCCTTTTTTTTAAAAACAATAGCAAATCATATCTTATTATGAACTTTAAGTCATTAAAAAAGCAGACATTTCAGAGATGTAACTTCGGTCCTTAAGATAGTCATAAACAGAATAATACGTGTTTGAGCCTTTAAGAGTTTTAGGAAAGTGTCGGGGACACTTACTGTCATCACCCACTGGGCCGGCTGAGCACTGTGCAGGAGGGTCACGAGAAAAATCGTTGAGCTCCTGTAATGAAAAGAGGTTTAGAACAAAAACCAAATTAGACCACAGTAATCTTCACAGACAAAACAACCAGGAGACAGGATCTGAAATCAACATGCCAACACGGGGGGTGGGGGTGGGGGTGGTGGGAAACAGAGCTGCATTTATTTCACAACACCTTCCTGCCCGTGTTGTTATCTCCTGCAACTCTCTTCCAAGTTCAACACATCAACAGCTCATAGGGGAGAGAGGGAGAGAGGGGGGCTACTTTGTTATCGCCTCCACATTTTACAGCCAGATGAGCCTGAAGCGTACATTCACTACAAGTATTTTTAGGTCCACAGCTACTTCAGAGTGAGGTGGAAACCTCCGCCCCACCCTGGGTCTTCTGACACGCACCATAACACAAGATAGTTCATGGATTTCACTGGAAGAGGTAATCTAGTCAACAACAGAATGAAGCCATGAGAGCAGAACTTGTGTTGTAATACTGGATATCATGTATGGTCTTATGACCTTTAGACCACTTTTTAAAGGTTTCAGTTTTGTACACACGTAATCATGTCACAATACTGTATAGTCCTGGATTTCCCCAAAAGATCTCAGATCTTGTGGGTTTCATCCAGTAGACTCTGAATATTTGTGTCTGATTTGGTCTCACCCTGCCTTGATCCCTAAACATTAAGTTATTTGTCCGCCTTGAGCCGGCGTTCATGTCCAACTTGTTTTCCTTAAGTGTCTGACACCACATGAATGCAGGGCAACATTTGGTTTCGATCACGACTTTGTGTCACACTTTAAACGCACGATTTGTAAATTCCAGTCTGCTCTCAAGCAAAACAATTACAAAATATGACGTCAGGGCTGGCGGGGAATCATGGGAGTGATTCTCTGCTACTCCACCCACAACCCTGATGAAAACAAACTGAGTTGACCGTAGTCAAGGTGACCTCAGGAAGAGAATATGTTGACAGACAAGCTAATGTGACCGAGTATAATTTACATAACATTTTTAAATCACAGAGGCACAAACAGTAAGGGAGCTTTCAGTAGCAGTTCCCGCTTCTTAGACACAATTACTGGTGTTTCTACGGCAACGACCACGGCTTGTTGTGTCTGTAATCATGGCCATGATCATGTGCCACAACAAAACACGTCCCAATACAACTACAAAAATTACATCTTTCTCTAGTTTTAAGAACTGTTGGAAATATTTGATTTAATGTCAGAACTTAAAAAAAAAAACAACATTGTTTTATATTTTTGTGTCAAACGCTAAAACAATTCTTCATATATTATATATATAAATATAAATAAATAACAGGGCGCTGGTGGTGCAATGGTTAGTGCCCCCCATGTATGGAGGCTGTCGTCTCAAGCGGGCAGCCCAGGTTCGAATCCCACCTGTGGCTTCCTTTTCCCGCATGTCGTTCCCCACTCTCCTATCTCTCCATTAAAGGCCAAAAATAAATCTTTGAAATAAATAAATAGTGCTTTATAGCAATTTAAATCTTCACATTACTGTATTGTCTTTTTTATCCTACTACAATTTTAAATATTTTCCTCTTATGTATTTATTTTACTATCTTGTTGCTTTTGTGTGTCGTATTTTATACATATTTTTTAATTCTTATTGGAGTGCATTAGTCTCCCAATGATTTTATAAACTACTTTTTAATCAATAACTTTTCTGCAATAAAGTTTGATTGATTGATATTGTACCTTTAACAATCCAGGTGTTTTCCTCCCTCCCTCCATTATATTATTTAATATCATATTCTGCTGCCAACTTCCTCCATTTAACTGCCAGAACACACCCTGTGATGTGCACAGAACAAATACCATCACATACCAAGGAAGTGGATCATGACTAACACACAGCAGTGAGTCAGGAAGTTCTGGAAACATCGATAATATTATGAAATCTGTTCTTATATTAACACACACTTAGCACGTACATAACATCCTAAACGCGTGTGTGTGTGTGTGTGTTTATGTAAACCTAAGTAGTGTTGGGAAACTCATGCGGCCTCTATGACGTCACTTCGACGAACACACCAGACGTGTAACCGAAGATGCTAACGCTAATGCTAACTAGCTCGCTGGGGCTAACCGAAACCGTTTCCGCGTAGTAGCCGGTGCGGGGAGTGAAAACAACAGGCACACCGAGGGGAACAAACACACAATATATAACTAAAGTTAACACAACCACAGAAAAAAAACACTTCAAAGTCCCCTCGATTGTGTTCTTCACCGCCGTTTCTCAGGATTCAGCGCTGAGGGAGGCTAACGCGGCGAGGCGACACATCTTAGCATCGCTGACATGTAAGCTAACAGTAAGCTAACAGTAAGCTAGCAGCATCGACGTTGTCTTACCTTGTGGATCCTTTTCAGAGCCATCCTCTCTCGATGTTATTCTCTTTGATTTGAAGGCTTTCCGATGCGAGCAGTAAGCGGCAGCTGTAGTGTGCCAGGATGATTCACAATCCCGTCAAGTATTTTGACACCGGGGCTTTTCCTTTCTTTTCCTCGAGCTAGCGCAGTTAGCCGAACGGAGCTAAAACTACGTATGCGCGGAGATGCTAACAAAGCTAGCGGTGCGATCTTTCTCTCCCGCTGACGTTCACGGCGTCCTTCGATGACCCTTCGCTTTCCTTCACGTTTCAGCGTCTTATGTTGGATTATTTAAATCCCGGTACAGGTTGAGTAAGTGCTCGTATCAGGTGAAGTGTCCCCCCCGTCGACAAAGTGCTCCTCTCTTCTTTTGCTTTCGGTCGCCGTCGTTAGCCCACTAGCGGCTGGCTGCTGTTATTTGAAGCTTTACGGAGGAAGGCGGTCCCGGTCTGTGCTGACTGACGGGACCCGGATGTGGAGGCAGATTGGTTAAAAACAGCATGTATGACAAACCAGTCAGCACATTACATTTTACTGTTATGAGCCCTGATGTGTGCAATGACGAAACTTATTTATATTTTCATTTCATTGTACAGTGTTCCCCTTGTTATTTTTATTTCTGTATTATATCTTTGCTTTAATACAGTGTATATTTCTGTACAGTTTATTTTAAATCAATTAGCTGTTACTACAACTTATTTCTTTTTACTCTTACTTTTTTTTTGTACTTTTCTACTCTATTTTTTTCTAATTCTATTCTATTTTATATATAATTTAAAGCTGACTCAGGGAGAAACGCACTGTACGTGGACAAAAGGACAAAACACCTTTACATTTTAGAAAACAAGTTTACAAGTGGCAGATCACATATCCTGTAACCCCTCACATTATTACCATTTAAGGTTAGAATAGTTTTGGTTTCTTCATTCGTTTTTATTTCTATTTCGGTTCACTTTAGTCTGTATTGGTTTTAAAAGCTGCCTCACTTTCTGTTTCAATTTGATCAGAGATGCACCAATTATAGACTGTAAATATTAATAGACAAAATGGACTGAGTGACGTCACCCGTCTGTTCCTGCAGTGGGCTTTTGGAGTCCCATCGATGGCGGTCTCCATGCTGGAAATGCTGTCTCAGTCTAACTTTCAGTCAACCTAACGACAGGCTGAGAGCTGGAGCTGAGGCGGGTTTTAAGCTTCCTGACAAACTGTTACACCGCGTCCACCTGTCAATCAGGTCAGCTACACGCCTAACTATGGATAACACGTATCATTCATACAATCAAAACGGATGCGTTACCCACCGTACAATGTGTACATGAGGTAATCCAACCTATTTGATTTTTTGTACCAGACTGTAAAAATGTTAATTTTAACAGTAATGCCTTTTTGGGCTGTGAAGTTTCTTGTTCTAAATCCACTCTGATCCTGTATTTGATCATGTCTATAAACCCCTCTATTTCAGCCCTGCTCAGAACAGGCTGTTTCTGTATCTGTACCTTTAAATATGTAAATGAGCTGTGTCTGACCACACCCCCTCTCTGGAAGGAGCTTGGGTGTACTCAGTGCTTTCTCGCTCCATGTCCTATTGTTTACGGTGAGAAGGCAGACTCAGAGGGCAGAACAAACACCTAGCTGTGGGAGGGGCTACTGCCCTTTGTGATGTCATGAAGGGAAAATCTCCAAACGGCCTGTTTGAGCACACATTTTCTGAAAAGTGGAGCAGGCAGAAGACGGAGAGGATGGACTCCTCTCATCATTGGGGGGTTTGTAGACGGACTAGAGACACATGTTAGAGTTAGAGGAACATGAGGACACTTCCTCAATATTTTGCATAATGTGACCTTTAAATGTTTTGGTTTCAGCCTCATGGAAACAGTTTGGCCTGTAGATTCCAGTTTAATATATATATTTTTAGAGCTGCATAAAGATAATGACTTCACTGTGATGCAGTTATCATTTACATTAGTAAATTCCTTATTTAAAAAAGCAACATGATGGCACACGAAGCCCATCCCCCTCCCTGTGCACCTGTCATGATTTTATTAACTTTCATTAATTTAGAAACAGCAGAAAAAAAATAAAAAGGAGAACATGTTCACAGCAGTAATTTAATACTGGGCGATGGAGTACAAAAGAGTGATTCATGATTAACGACTGCTGAAGCTTTTCCTGGGACACGCACGGGACACATTAAATTAAAGTAAACGTCTTCACTCGTAACCTGCCGTCATTTGGTATTTTAAGATAATTGCTTTACATAATATCTCTGATTCTTTTTACATCATTTTCTTTACAGTTTCACAACAAAGGGCTTCACACAGTATAGCCTCCGGTCGGCGTCTTCTGCAGCACATTCACATCAAAGAAATATTTTATATTAGTTCACATAGAGAAGGCAAAATATGTTCCACTCTCCATTATGGAGAATCACCCTTTGATTCCTTCAAGGCACTGATGCAGAGCAGTCCATCTCTGTGTTCTGTGTTTGTGCAGGAGTAGGAGGACGCTCGGTGGGGTTGAGGGGGGAAAGTTTCAGCCTCTCCGAGCTGCCGATTTTATGATTTTTTGGATCGTCGGCACAGCCTAAGAGTTCTGAGTGTTCATGAGGTGATTCAAGAGACGTTTGGCTTATATGAGACGCCACAGGATCTGATTCAGCTTTGTTTAATTTGAAGCTGCTCCATGACCCAGGAGCCTCATCACAGTCTTCAGTACCTCCGCCGTTTTGTGGCGTTCTAGGACAGGAAGTGACCTCCAATTTAGCCGCGTTAGAGCCAGGTTGAGGCTCGGCTGTGCTCTCATTCACAGCATTAGGAGTCAGTGGCGTCTCCTCGCCGCGCTCATGTATGTAAGGAGGGGAAGTTTTACCTAACAAGACATCAGAGCTGTTGACTCCCTCTGGAGCGCAGCCTGAAGCCGGGCCGACAAATCCAACAAAGTCTCCACTGGAGCTGAAACGCAGACCCTGAACAGCGTCTCTGTGAGGTTCTTCTTCTTTGTCTTTACCTTCTGTGTCACAATCTCCATCCTCAACGCTTTCCTGCTCCTCTTTCCCCTCCTCCTCCTCCTCCTCCTCCTCCTCTTCGGGATCAGGAGTTACATCTTCACTCCGTGTATCTGTGCAGTCCTCCTGGTTCTGCCCTCCCTCCTGCGCAGCCGGATCTGGCTCAGTCTCTCTCTGAGTTGGTGCAGCGGGAGCGTCGCCTGAAGCCGGGCTCGGAGCGGACGGGTTGGGTCGGACTGTCTGGTGGCACATGGGGCAGGTCTCCTGCACGTACAGCCACTTGCGGAGGCAGTTACCGTGGAAGAAATGTCCGCAGTATGTGATCACAGCCGAGCTCATCTCCTGTGAGGAGAGACACATTTCTGTTAGACTCACAACAACAACAACAACAACAACAGTCCCTCTGCACCTTTAAGAAACAACTAAAGACCCAGTTCTTAATGAAAACCTACGACCTTCATGATGATGATGGTTTTTTACTTCTCCTGAGGAAGAATGCAGAAGGTGCAGACGACACTAATGTTGGGGCGCAAGTTAATTGTTTCAGGATGGAAGGCCCCCTCTGCCAATCTGTGTCATAATAATTTGGGTAGACTAGCCGCATTGGAGGGTTTCTCATTTAGAGTTGTAAATAGAGTTGAATGTTACAATGAGTGGGGAAGCAAGAGAGGCTTGGGGAATCTTATCCTTGATGGGTGATGGCGGACCCTCGGGAGTCAGCACACTGTACTTTATGCCCTGTCGTTGGGCCTGTTGTCGCAGAGCACCGTGTGCACTTTCGATGTCTATTTTGTTTTTTGTTGTTGTATTGTTTCAGTTGAAAGCTTTTTCTTTATCTTTTACTTTTTCATTACGAGTCTTATTTTGTTAGATTGTCCCAATTAATGTTTTTGTTTGTTCTTTACCTTCATGTACGAGTACTTAAATGATTATTTGTCACCAATATGTCTGTTACTGTTATCTGTTACTTTATAATTGGAAAATTAAATAAAATGTTAATCATAAAAAAATTGATTATAATGGTTTTGTTAGATAATGACAATGACGTATTTAGGATGGTTTTAATGCTTGAACAGCTTTCGATGTTGTGCTCTGCCTCTGGTCACTTCCTGTCAGCACCTGTGTGTCCGATCAGACTTTAAAGCTGTTTGTTTTGAAATGAATTGTACAATATTTATGACATATTCTTAGTAGCAGTGTTTTTGTTTGACTTTTTATTGTTCAGTGGACGGTGTGCAGAGACACTGATCATGTATTCTCCTCATTAATCTCTTGTTTTATTGTGATTTCTTTATGCAGTTGCATTCACAGATATCCGTCTCTGTTTTTATCTCTCATCTCGTCTCTGTGATGATGTCACCTGAACTTCCCCTCTGAGATTTGTAAAAGCAAAATATCGTCCTGCAAACACTCGCTCTGTTTTTCATCAAGATTTTACTTCTGCTGCTTCATTTGAAAACAAACTTGTGATCATTGTCAAGGACAGGTACAAACAGGTTTTAAAAAAAACTGTGGCTGAAGGCCAAAGAGGGGGAAACGAGCAAACTGGAAAAACAGGACCAGCATACCTTAAAGGTACACACACGCTGTTAGATATTATATGTACACACAGTCACGTTTGTCACAGTGCTCACAGTGACTCTGCCTCGTGCACGTCAGCTGTACTGACAAATATCAAGTTACTGGTATCATGATCATATGTTGGGTATGAATATATTTCATATACCCGGAGGGTGGTGTCGACAATAAAGTGGAGTTTGACTTATTGCCCGTTAATTAACATTTATTAACCGTTCTTAAAGGAGCAGTATGTAACTCTGACCCCTAGTGGTTAAAATGGGTACTGCAGTCTAAATTCTAAACCTCATAGAGAGCTGTCTCCCCCCCCTCTCTAGAGTGGATGCTCTCACAGGTCACCATGTGGTGGACTCTGAAGCTTCAGTGTTTATCCAGCTCTGCATGGGTCTGTAAACCTTTCTGTGTTCTAACCTCTCTCCATTTTTCAAAAGCATCTCCAATATTGATCCTAGTTTGAGCACGTTTCTGCTCGTGGAGCTTATTAGAAACATGCAGAGGCTTTTTAGGTCGGGTACAATCACTTCTATCTGAACCACTTCTCTTGACCGCTTCCATCGCTGCAACACCTGTTGACCTGATAACTGCTCTCATATCTGACAAACCGAGGGGCGTCCAAAACGGCCGTGTGGGGGTCGCCTTAAAACCGCCTACCTTCTCTGGTCCAAACAAATCCAGAGCAGTTTGTCCAAGCTTATGGGTGGAAACACCTCTGAAATCCACTATGAGGAGCTGGAAGAGGACCAGCAATAAAATGTCGACCTCCTAAGCCTGCTGCTACGGGGACCCGGCCCCGGATACACAGAAAAGATAGATCGACGGCTAAAACTGAGACACTAAGAAATATCTAAAGCAACAGGCGGTTAGTTTACATTCTGAACCCCTTGTGGTGATGATAAAAAGGGGGGGGGGGCTTTGGATTTGTCAGTATTTGATGTAGTTGGCGTGCAGCTCCTCGACTCACCTGGAAGCAGATGGCGCAGACGTCGTTGTGTCGCTGCAGCTCCCGCTCCGTGGCTCTGGGGAGCGAGTTGATCTTCTTGGCCGCTTCCTGCCTGAGCAGGAAGCTCCTCCAGCCAGACTGAGCTCGGAGCCACACGTTGAAATAAGAGTGGATGATGATGACGGAGGCGCCCATCCAGCTCCACTCCCCGAACAGAGACTCCCAGGTGCCGTATGCCACCACGCAGAGCGCCACCATGAACTCCAGCACCCGGCTGACGGCGTTCACCCAGTAGATGACCTCGTCCAGGCTCTCGATCGGGTCGCTGCGGAACAGCTCCACCATGAAGAGGGAGTAGATCAGCATGGTGCCTGTGACCTGGAGACAAACAGAACTTTACTAAAATAACAGTGACAAAACTCTTCTGCCACCAAACTCCTAAAAAAAACTCATGAGCATGTGTGAACAGAAACAGCTGAATGTTTCTCTCTTCACACAGAGTTTCTCCTCCAGCCTCCTCGTATTTATTCTGCAGAAAGTCAGAGTGAGCTGATGTGAGAACGCAGCAGGATATAATCAGGAGAATTCATTGATGATGTTGTGTGGGGTGCTGTGGCTTTGCGGGAGGGATACGTGAGCGGATGGGTGTTTGAGAGCCTTTATGTTTATGTGTGTATTTTGTCCTTGACTGTCTGTATCACACTGTACTGTTGTGTTTTTGTTTTTGTGTTGGACCCCCCTCGAAAAATGAGATTGTTCATCTCAACGGGCAATCCATCAAATTAAACAGAACTTCTCACAACGTATTGTGGAGCGGCAGTATCTCAGTCTGTAGGGACTTGGGTTGGGAATATTTCAAGTCCCTGTGCAGACTGAAAGTATGGTAGTCGGTCTCTTTTGCTTTGTCCTACACTGCCACGTTATTTTGATGTCATGTCTTGCCTGAGGAGAGCCCCCCCGGCCCACCTCGCATCCATTCAACCTTTATTTATACTTGAAAGATCATTGAGGGGGCAACCCTCATTTACAATGACATCGAGTCATTACAGAAATAATTAGAAAACAGACATTAAATCAAAAAGAAAAACAGAAGACAGATAAAACAAGACTGTTAAAATCAGTCTACAAAAGTCTAAAATGTAAGATAATTAAGCGAGTACAAAACTGCAATAAATAAACACACTTATGTAAAACATTTACAAACAGAGGTTGGGAGGCTTAAAATCAGGTTTCTAAAATGCCCCCCAAAAAGGGATAGACGGTACATGTGTGAAAAACCAGATCAGGAGGATTGAGTCCTCCAGACATTTTCAGGAGTGCAGATGTGAAAATGTCTTGATGTAGTTCAAAGCCGTCTTTCATGTCCTGAAATTCGGGTTCATGTCAAACTTATTTCCCGGTATCTCTGTAGCACAGTGAGCTCAATGTCTTTATTTAATGTTGTTATTGTTCCACCCTGAGACTTGAGTCAGTGTAGATATAAATGACCGATCATACCTGAAGGGACGTCAGCATGCAGCTGGAGACGAGGATGAGGAGCCAGAAGTCCATGTGGAAGAACTGGGAGATTTTATACGCCATAAACACAGGGAAAACCAGCAGAAGGAGACACATGCTGAGGCCGCGGAAATGTTTCCACAGACTCCTGCGAGAAGACCAGAAGACACCGGATTAAAAACCACAAAGTCATCATAAGAACGGGAAAGTCCTTCGATGTGATGTGGTTACCTGTTCCGTGATGCACCGAGAGCCAGAATAACCGGGTCTGTGATTTCGATCATGGACTGCAGGGTCGACGTGACCACGATGAAGAGGATGATGCTGAGGAGGAAGGTGCGCTGCAGAGCCTGCATGTCCAACAGACCCGTCTGCAGAGCGAGCAGCAGCAGCGTGACGCCTTCAGTGACACCTCTGATGGGACGGGGGGGGACGGGGGATTCAGTAACAGAGCTCAGAAAATACAGTTTCCACAGATTTGTATAAATGAACACACAAATATATTAAGAATGTGTATTTACATTTTTGTTTATAAAAATGGAGTTTAACAAATATAAAAGGTCGGTTTGATTATTTTTTGAGAGTGTGACTTCTGTTTTGTTTTTTGTTTGTTTCATTTGTTTTGTTTTGAAAAAATTATTATTTTTTTTTGTAACCAAACTAGTCGTGTCTTAAATAATAAGATTTGTAATAAGGGTAGGTGTAATAAGATAAAGCTTCAGCCTACACCTTTTCAGTCAAAATGTTTTAGTTTTTTCATGTGACCGAAATAAATTATTACTACAAAAAAAAATATAGAATCAGAAAATCTCTTTATGTGAGTGGATAAAAAAAACAGCTAAAACAAAGGAGATCTTGCTAAGCTATGAATCATTTTGTTTGCCTTCCACCCTGCACCAGCGACACAACTTGTCCTCTGCATTTTCTTGAAAATCTACTGAAATTAACTCCGCCTTTCTTCCCCTTAAATCACATTTAAATCGCTTCTCTGAAAGAGGTTCTGCTTGATCTCGAATTATGAAATGATAAAATTCACTGACTGATAAATAATAAGCAACAACACAAAGAGACGATACCATTACTCAGTGAAACATCGGTGCACTAATGAAAACACTTTGTAGTTAACACCATGTAGATTTCACTCTACTACAGAGGTGAAGGGAGGTTTCCACTCGATGACCTCGGTGACGTCCCCGCTCTTGCTGTTTATCAGTCTACACGGTTGAGTTGTTGGGGCCAGAAGAGGCCATGTGGTAGGTTTGGTAGTATCAGCGGTGTCACTACCTGGAGCTGGCATCAACACAGTCTGGGTGGTGTTGAAGGTGGCAGCGCTGTTTTGGTTGTGGTGGCGACTAAGGGCCATCGGGGAGGTTATGTAACTCAGTCGGGTAAATAGGGGCATAATTGGGATTAGGAGTGTCTTCACTTTCATTAGGGCTCAAGTGTTTTGTGTTTTTATTTTAAATTATGTTTAGTGAAGAAGATAAGGGAAGGGGAATATCCACATATTCAAACTTTGGGATACAGTTTACAACTTATTTGATTCAGCCATTTGAAATCTCCTGCAGTGATTAGAGCCACTATGTACACTTTGGCGCCCCCCAGTGGTACTAATTTGAATTTAATTTTACATACTTTAATTACCCCCTCAAGAGGAAATCCTGCTTTACACTGAGACATTCTCCTCACACACATAACTTGGACAATATCTGCGTATTTAATTAAGAAAACTGACGCTCAAAGCACATCAAACGGACTTGCGTGATGGACCTGAACTCACCTGTGCATGACATTCTCATTCTGCACGGCTGCATAACCTCCCAGGTAGAACTTGCATAGGTTGAGCAGTCCGAGGGCGAGATAGGACACCACGAAGGTCAGGCCCAGGAGAGAGTACGGCGTGGCGCAACATTCAGAGACACTGCGGGAGAAATAATCCAGTGAGGGGTTGTCACGGTAACCACGATTTTAAAACCGTTTCAAGTAAAAATCAAAAGGATATCGATGCACGTTTGGATACCATGGCAACAAAAATAGAAGTCCTAGCAACCCCAATGAGGGGTTAATTTCTTACTTTAATCACCAACATTTTGCAAACACAGTCCTGCACATGTTGGTGGAAGTATCTGTGCATTTCAGACGATGTCACCGCCTCTGCTTTCTCTCTGATTATAAGAGACATAAACGCAACTTTTGCATCTTTAACAGACGCCAAAAGGACTCGGTGTGAAGTCAGTATCTGCCATCCTGTGAAAAATTAAATGGCTCTCCCTCTCGCTGCAGCATTGATTTAGAATATGACTGAAGATCTGAAGTCCTTTTGAAGCTTCAACACCATTCTTATATTTCTGAGCTTTTAACCCCTTATGAACCAATACGCAGTCTGAGAAAACTAAAGGGGACATGGCCTTTGCTGTCAGAGCCCCCAGACTTTAGAACAGCCTGCCAGAGGAGATCAGACTTGCAGATTCAGTCCCTTGTTTTACTTCCCTACTCAAGACATTCTTTTATAAAAATGCTTTTACTCTGTGATTTCGGTAATTGTTCTTATTTTTTAATTTATTAGTCTGATTTTGTTGTCTGCTTGTTTACTCTCTGCCTGTTGTTTTAATTGCCTCTCTGCTTTTCTGTTGTAAAACACTTTGTTACTTGTATAGAAAAGTGCTATACAAATAAAGTATTATTAATGCTCTCGATTAAAAACACATTTTGACAAGTGTCAGTTGAAAATAAAACACTAAAAAAAGGAGTCGTCGTCGCACCTTGTGAGCAGGAAGAACAGGATTCCCTGATGGCTGGCAGTGGCCGAGGCGTTGGCAGACATGGCGTCCGTGCACAGCTGGACGACGAACAGAACGAACCAGAAGACACTGAAGAGCACTGGGACGGCAAACTGGTTCCACAGAGAGATCCCCACAGCCAGAAGTCTGTACAGCTCGATCACCTGAGAGGTGATGAGGAGCGTGGACAACAGAGCATAAAAGAGATAAACTAGAAGAGGAGTTTTGATCAAATGGAAAGTAAAGTAACATTCTGGAGTTACTGCGTTACCTCCAGCTGCAGCAGCTCGGAGTAAGCAGCCCTTGCGAGTCGGTACGGCAGGAAGAGATGTGAGAGGAGGAACACGGTGATCCCCGCTCCGGTCAGCCCCATGGAGAAAGTGTTGACAGTTAAGAGCATGGCGTGAGGAGCAGCGCAGAGCCTGGCCAGAAGGGGGAGCATGTGAGCGGAGAACAGCCACACCTTCCTGGTCTTCATGAGGAAGGCACACAGCGTGCTGAGGATAATCTGACCTGAACAGACAATCATTACGGGTGAGGACAATAAATAAATACACAAAATGTTGGTTAGAATGAGTTAGTTCAGAATGAGATTGTGATGTTTTTAAGGGCTTATATTTGTGCATATTTATAAAAAAAAAACATTCTTTGAATCTTCTGCATTCAACATTGCCTCTCCTCTTGTCTCTTAAACATCCCACTCTTTGTTTTTTTGTGGATTATTAGTTATACAAACATGACAGTGGTTTGCTCTTGAAGTGCAACTTGAAAGTTTTGATAAGGAGACAAAAACAGAGGAAACTGTCGGTGGTCTAACATTCGCACAAAACTCCTGAAAACTTTCTGGGTGAGCCGCATGTTTGAATGCAAACAGCCAAAGTGAGACCCCCTCTCCCCTCCCACCCAACAGCCATAGTCTCCATCTGCAGGGTGCATCAGTGAAAAACCAACTCAGGGAAGGTATGACGAGCAGTCTTAAACTTTCCTAAAACCAGTTTGTTTGTATCTTGCAGCTCATCGTTTCTCATCGTCAGCGAACATGAACATGAATCGAATGCACATGAATGAAAGTCTGGGTGCAGGACTCACTCGTCATTGCAGACACAAATCTGTTGAAGGCCAGAGAATCGAGGTAAACGGCTCCTTCATAACCGTACTGCAGCTCCTCACGGACATAATCCCTGAAAGAAAAGCAGGAAATACATTTTTATGTCCAATGTACTGTGTGTTTCTTTATTTTCAGCATGGAGAATTCCCATCTGAGCTGTTAAGTATGCTTGTTATCTTGTGAGTAAACCGTCATTATTCAACATGAGAACTTATTTATTTACATTTATTGAGCACTTACAAAAAACGTTTACCTGCCAGAGTAAAAAAGAATCCTGAGATGACATCAAAAGATCAAATTTACATATTCTCAAAAATGTCTCTGCACTTGTTCGTTTTTGAACAAAGATTTCAATCATCACCGACTAAATGAAACAGCTTTGGGTTTGGTAAATAACAAACAAACTAAGGTTGGTTTCTAACTTTAAAAGACAAATAAACGAGCGGCTTCAACACAGAAACACTTCCTCCTGACGTCGTGTATCAGGCTGAACCTGATACACAGATGGAGGAGAGGAAACTGATCCAGATTCAATAAATCACAGGAGTGTAGTAGCAGGAGTAGCATTAGGAGTAGTAATAGTAGAAGGAGGGCGTCTCACTTGGAAATCTGATGCCCCATGTAGAGGAGGAGGGCGGCGAGGATGTGGAGGTAGAGCGTCACGATGTGTCTCAACGGCAGAACCAACACCACCACGTTTACCAGATGACCTGCGGGGAAAACCAGAAAACGCTCATTGAAACCTGAATCAGGAAGTGTTAGACATGGGCGGTCAGCATGAACTTGTTTATCACGATTAATGAAGGTCAAAACTGATGCATACATTTTTTCAATCCTGATTAATCTCATGTTATTTTGTCCCTTCAGGCTCTCCGTAGATAGTGGTCCTCAGTGTCTCCCTGTAGTCTCACTGCTGCATCTTTGAATGTCTCATTTCACTTTAACAAACTCTCAGACAGTAATATCCACCTTATGACATCACACATTGACCTTATGACATCACACATTGACCTTTGTCACCGCTCCTTTGAGCTGTCTGACGTCAGTTTGGGATCCCTCACCACTTCCTCTTTCTGTGGCGGTGCGCTTTTATCGCTTTTTTTTTCTCTGACAAAAGAATCTAACAGATATCCGTGTCGTCTGACTTTAACTCGAACCAAAAAAAAGTGGCATCACGATCATCATATCCTGCAGGGTCATTACTCTGCGTGTGGGTAGGGATGTAACGACTGACTATTTATTTTACAAAATGAGTCTGTAGACCGTCCTAACAAGGGGAGGTGATCGGAGCTTCTCATTGTGGTGTCGATTAAACGCTGCGTCATGTTGGTTGTGTTATTTGTGTAGTTCCCCGTCTTCTTGTAATATCTGCACACAGTTTTTTTGTCTAGTCTGTTATCTTCTCATCTCTTTCATTTTCTGTCTCGAGGATGCCAAAACGCTTCCACACCTCCGATTTAAAAGACAGTGGTGAGTCCTCACTTTCTAAATCTTTCTCTGCAGCTGCCAACTGCCTCTGCTCCACAGCTGCTGACACTCACCATATTATTGGGATTCATTTTATTATTGGGAGTACCGATGTGAACCATGACTCCTTTGAATCAATTTATCATGATTTATGATTAATCTTTACATCCCTACTTGTGGGTTAAACTCTTTAAGTTTATCATAAGAATATTGTATTTATTCTGGAAAATACATCGAAGTTTTCCTTTTTCCAATGCCGTCAAGTCACACACACACACACACACACAGCTTAATCTATTAAAGGGACAGGACACCAAAAACACAACAATTATATAAAAACAGAAAAAAAGGAAAAATATTCACTGAGGAAATAGACAAATATTACCCAAAGAAAAGCTCCCCTTACGCCTCCAAACTGTCTGTATGCAACTGTTTTGGCTGATGATCTAATTATTATTTTTCTTATTTATTTATTTGTTAGGGACAGTGCATATTAATGAACAGCTGTAACAATTACAACTGTAAAAATACCAGATTATAGCAGAAGTGCTGGTTTCCATCTGTTGTCCCTCGGCAGGTAACAGAGGAAGACAAATTACAAATAAAATACAAAAAAAAACAAAAGGCACAAGTGACACAAGACAATAATCGAGGTTAAAGGTTAAAGGTTAAAGGTGGTCACAGACTTGTTTGAGGTGTGTTTTGAAGGTTGCATATGTTTGTGAGTCTCTTATTGTGAGAGGGAGAATATTCTAATATTGAGTTCCTTTGACTGACAGAACAGTTTGAATGTAGTGCGTCTGTGTGGGGGCCTCACAGTCTCCTCGGGCTGGGGCCCCTGCTGCCGATCCCACTGGCAGACTTCAGCTTTATAAAGTCCTTCAAAGGAGGAGGAGCAAGTCTGTGCAACATTTTATATATAAAACATGCATTTTTAAAATGTAGTAAATTATGTTTATCTAAAACAGTGCAATGGTGAAATGAAAATGGCTTTTTGTCAAAGATGTTAATTTCCTTTTTAAAAAGAGATCGTGTTGGTTTAAGTGTTGCGACCATGTGCTCATAAAGGATTCAATATGTGATAAAATGATGTATTTACCAAGGTAGTACATGTTCCAGATGACATATTTGTATTTGAAGAGCAGGTCTTCGTTCTTGGCCTTGAGGTGCTCAGTCAAACCTTCGATGTCACACTTGTAGAGCAGGTCCAGAACCAGGATGCTGGGCACCCTGAGGGCCACGTTGGCCAGCTCCTCCAGGCGGGGCATCTTACAGACCAGCTTCTTCAGGAGGCAGAGAGGGGGGCTTTAAGGTCACATGCTGTTTACTTGACGTCTCGCTGTTGAGCTCGTCTTGTTGTCATCTGAAAAAAACACAACAAACAAACAAACAAACACTCAGGTGAGGGACTCCTGTGTGAGCATCCAGACCGTTATTCGGCTGTGAATTCCTGATTTAGCATCACATTTCAGTCTTTAATTCACGCTGTAGACTTAAATATGATTAAAAGGGAGTTTAAATAACACAATTAAATATATTTTAACTTGTTATAGCTAATAAAATCACCGTCATTCACTTACTTTGCACGCTGACACACTTCACAGGCGAACAGCCGTTTGCTAGCTAGCGTTAGCTTCTGGTTAGCTTCCACAGCGAACAGCGACATGTTTTAAATAACCGCGGGAGAAATGTTTCACTTATTGTCTAACTATCGGTCGTCATCGATGGCGAAGACAGCCGCCATGAAAACGCGATGTTAAAAGCTCAAATTAACCGATGAAAAAAAGATGAGTAAAGACACTTTGAGTCTAATGTTGTGATTCCGCTCGTTTGCGTGGCCACTTCCGGTTCACGCGTCATATCGAAATCGACCAATCAGGTTCAAGCATACTCAATTCAACTACTACTACTACTACTACTACTAC